AAACTCATAACCAAACTCATGTACCGTAGTTAACTCATAAACAAACTCTTGTACCATAGTTAACTCATAAACAAACTCTTGTACGGTATTAAACTCATGAACAAACTCTTTTACCGTATTAAACTCATGAACAAACTCTTGTATCGTATTAAACTCATAACAAAAGTAATGTACCATATTTTAAACTCATAAACAGTCTCATGTTCCGTAGTTAACTCATAAACAAACTAATGTACCGTATTAAACTCATAACCAAACTAATGTACCGTAGCAAACTCATAAACAGTCTCATGTACCGTAGATAACTCATAACCAAACTAATGTACCATATTAAACTCATAACCAAACTAATGTACCGTATTAACTAATAAACAAACTCATGTACCGTAGTTAACTCATAAACAGTCTCATGTACCGTAGTTAACTCATAAACAAACTCATGTACCGTAGTTAACTCATAAACAAACCATTGTACCGTATTAAACTCATAACCAAACTAATGTACCGTAGCAAACTCATAAACAGTCTCATGTACCGTAGATAACTCATAACCAAACTAATGTACCATATTAAACTCATAACCAAACTAATGTACCGTATTAACTCATAAACAAACTCATGTACCGTAGTTAACTCATATACAGTCTTATGTACCGTAGTTAACTCATAAACAGTCTCATGTACCGTAGTTAACTCATAAACAAACTCATGTACCGTAGTTAACTCATAAACAAACTATTGTACTGTATTTAACTCATAAACAAACTAACTATCTACATATTTAGGATCCTAAGCCGTGAGAGATCCAACATTTGTCCCCTTATGCCTTGAGCCAAGAGGGCAAAGATCCAAATATTACAGTTTATCTGTATTAACTTTTAGTATGTAAAGTTCGCAGCCATCAGTTCATGTCTTACATTCCAAATCTAATAGTGCTATAATTATGTTCAAAGGAACAGGAGATATGCACTGGACTATTGGTGTTGGACAGATGAGCGGAATGATAGAATCCCAGACAGAGAGATAAACAAACAAGATTCAATCCTATAATCCCCTCCAGATCTGGTAGTGCTGAAGGTTTGGGGGCGTAATGTGTTTTATTTTTACAACATAATTACAACGAAAGTGGTAACCATTTACAAGGTGAAATACATTACATACATTGTATATATATATATAGAAGTTCAAAACTCCAGAGGTCACTGGCTAGTCTGGTGTATATCAAATTATACACAATTACATAGAATGTATCTGTCTGGACCCCACACAATTAACATTCCCTGTCATACCGCCACATCTAGTACAAAAGTTACATCAAACTACCAGAGCTGGCATCAATCTTACCAAAATCAAACATACATGTTCATGGTGTCCAAGTATATAAAATTTCGGTCATTATTTAATCCAAGAACTAATACAGTGTGTACGTCTATTGCCATCAATCATGATGACTCTCTGTTGTCCAATCATTGGTCATTGACCTATTTAATATGGTTTCCTTTCCTTTCATGATGTTCTTGACCTTTGATGACCTTTAAATTGTCCTATCCCTTTTTCTTGACCTATTTAATTGGTGACCTTTTGATGACCTCAGAAGTTCTTTTTGACTTTTGATACCATTTTGATAGTCCTATACTCTGTCTGTAACCAATTTCATTTGGTAACCTTTCAATGATCACCTAATATGTTGTCCTTGACATTTGGTAACCTTTCAATGATCACCTAATATGGTGTCCTTGACATTTGGAAACCTTTCAATGATCACCTAATATGTTGTCCTTGACATTTGGTAACCTTTCAATGATCACCTTATATGTTGTCCTTGACCTTTGGTAACCTTTCAATGATCACCTAATATGTTGTCCTTGACCTTTCTTGACCTTTGATGACCTTTAAATTGTCATATACTTCTTTCTTGACCTTTTTATTTTGGCGACAGCTCAATCACCTCAGATGTTGTACTTGACCTTTAATAATGTGTTTTATTGTTTGTATTCCGTCTTTGCATATTGCAGAGTTATCTGCTCTTGTGAGCAGGTATTGATTGTTAAGTCATTTGTTTGTGAGAGTAACGTCATCAATTTTTGAGAAAACGACGTAATTTTCTCATACAAACCAATGACGTAACAATCAATACCTGCTCACAAGAGAAGATAACTCTGCAATACGCAAAGACCAAATACTTAAGTCTTTGACCTTTTTTCAATTAGGTGATGTTTCAATGATCATGACCTCATGCAGATATCATTGACATTTTCATGACCTTTCTTAATCATTCAGTATTTATATTATTGATATAATGTCCTATGCTTTGTCCTTGACCTGGCATACTTTGGATGGCCATTTAATTATAGTCATCTATCTAATTAGCATCAATTAGTGATGTTGGCACTGATATATGTTTGGCTAGTGATCAGATACATGTCCAAGCTTTCACTCCAGATCAACTCTAAGATGTTAAAGTAGTGAAAATCTGTCTTTTATTTATACTGAAAGATATACCAGTTCTATATTTCACCAATCAGAACTGTGTTTTCTCTTCACTGTATTCTATCTGATGTTCTTTTCAGATGCAGAGGAAGCAACAGTAGAATAAGTGACTGTTTTGCTACATCTTTGATACACATGTATGTGGTATGTAAATAACCAAACGAATGAAAACATTTCTGTAACCAGATAGTAAGGTGGTGGCAGACTATAATAGACTATTGTTGAGAAGACCATTCTATATAGTGCAGTCTTTTACTTGAGCATTGCTATATTACAATGTATAAGAATATCACACCAAAGATATCACTACTATTTTCCCACTTTACCACTTTCTTACTGCAGTGACCTTTCTGTCTGAATGCTATAATTTTAGCTGTGTAATAAATAGAAAATTAAATGTTTTTGGGTTAATTTTAATACCACTTGTATATGTAGGGATCACCCTTATGACAGAATAAACTAATGTTTTTCGATCATGCAGATTGTATATGGTTTTCAATGGGAAACCTTTAAATGTTTTTCATATCTTTGAACATATTCAAAGCTTAATTCAAAGTCAAATTTTTGCTTTCAACATTTTTTTCAAATCAATTAGCTAATCTATAAAATCAACGTCGTTAATCATTTCCTATATAGCAATACTAATGTGCATTTTCCATATGATAACACAAACTTACAGAAAAAATTTGTTCAAAGCAAGTTTTTTCTATGTAATGATGATCAAACATATCTATCAAGAGTAGGATGTAAAAGATATAATTAAAATCTCAAAGTATGATTTGTAATATTTTCTCTAGAAAGAAGCAATATATGACCTTGCTCTGTAGTTTGCCGCTTTTTTGACTCATTCACCCCTGAAATTTCATAATGAACTATTCCAACCTTCAAATTGGAATAGTTCAAATGTTTCTTCGAGGGTGATCAATGATCACATGAGTTAAGAGTGAATGTCCTATATATATTGACTCAGTATGATGCCAACATATTTATATATACACATTCTCTGATTTAAAATTGATACCTGACCGGTTGTCTGAGAAGTTAAATATAGTTTATATTACCACCAACAGACAAAGTACAGCAGTACATGGCTCCAACATCTGACATCTGACTATGGTACTTCTATATTTCAGCACCAACCACTTAAAACTATATATCTGACAAGGATCATACCATACCTAGGGAAAACCAGTAATAAACTGGCGATAACCTCACCAACACCAGTGTTCAGCGTAGCCACGACATCACCTCAGACCACAGATAATGCCTCTGGTTCTCAAGTGCATTTCTACATTTTGGGTCATTATTAAACAAGATTTTATTTTAATAGGGCTTCATGGTAAATATGTATGTAACCGATTTGCGTTCATGCTGGCATGAAATTTGACAATAATGCCGTTCAATCCTTATATTTAAATTCTAAATTTTAGTTATTAATTACCTTAATATATATATTCCTTTTTATTTTCATTAAATGTCTGTGTCGTCATGATCAGTGCAAACTAGATTACCAGAACAGCACAGCATCACCAAAATGTTTGCTTCTAAGGGTTGTCTCATATTATTTGAGGCAGGAGGAGAAAGCTGCAAAATGACCCTGAACAAATTGCATTCATAGAGCTTTAAATGCAATTTCTTTCGGTAATGCTTATAGTGGAATCGTAAATATATATTTATGTCCATCACATTTAGATGTTTACATTTTTCCACTATAGTTATCTTTATATGTATAAAGGGCACTTTACAAATTTGATCATTATCTTTATGGCAAAATATCAACAAGGATTGACATTAAATTGTATTAGAAAGGTAGAGAAGATGGCCAGTCATTTCTGTCAACATTAAGATTTTATTTATTTTTTATCTTGATAAACATTTTATGTATATGTGTATACCTTTTTTCTACATATAAATTTCATGTATACTTCTATAGACATCTTAAGTAATCTGTCACTGAAAACCTGTGTATATATATTTTTTGTTATAAGTAAACCTGTGTATATATATTTTTTGTTATAAGTACATATGCCAAAGTATAAATTGATGGTGACACAGATAATATTGTTAATAATACTGTATTTTTTATGACTTGACCAGTCAACCAATACATAAATATGTAATACACCAACAAGTACTGGTAGGTTTACCCGACCAGCTGTTCTCCCCAATCACCCCGTCAATCTCCCGTCATACATGTGTTGATCAGATCAGAATCTGACCCACAAAACTTACCACGTACCAAACCACAAACGTAACTTACTATAACCAACACATTAAGTTGTGTTTAAAGCAATGATGCTTAAAAAACAGAGCTTACTTTTTTACAAGGAGGGTCGATCGACAACTGTTCTTGTGAAAACGTAGCAAAAGCTGTGAATGGCAACACAATTAACTCGCAATGATATATACATGTACTATATAATGAGAAGAAATGGAAGTGTTCTTTTAACATGAAATATAATTAGAATTGTAAATAGATATATCTGAACCCGATTCCTAGAAATACTTACGTAGCGTGAACTGTACTGAGATCTCGTAAACATATTTTAACAATAATAAGTTAGTTGTGAAGTAGTAAAAGTCCATTTCCTTTTCTGAAACTATGCATACTTTACTGGGACAGTCTCAATTGTGATGTCATAATAGTATAAGTCACATGAGTGCACCCACGTGGGAACCACATATTTGTGGACAGTTTAAAACTCTAGAAAATGTTTACAAATCATGGACCATTTAACTTTGAATACATGTACATAATGCCACTTAAATGACTAACTTTCCTATAAATTTCCTATCTGCATTGATTGGTTTGATAATATAAGTATACATATATATACACTACTGTAGTCATCAAGTGTGTCCACAACCTCAATGTGTCATTGACTCTAAATCCCCAATTAATACATCATTCTAGATTATCCGGTCCCATCTACTACCAATGCAACTTCATAACCCCCCCCCACCAAGCTTGGAGCACAGATAACACCCCCAACCCGTAGTATTTTAGACTAGTAGCTCCTGCAGGCCGGGGCCCCTCCCTCCCAACTACAATTCTTATACTACATGTACCTCTGACATCCCCTACATAGGCTAGCCCCAAGTACACTTTTCCAATTCACACCATATACTTGCTAATGTCCTAGATCTATACATAACTTATAAACTACATGTATATTCAGTTTTAAATTACTATGTGAAATATTGGCGGCAGGATAATCTTTTCAGATCATATCACAATATTGTCCCACCTAGCATTTAGGCACATGCATCCTAAAAATGATATAACAACACCCATCTAAAAGTCACGTTTCTCATGATTATGTAACTTAGACAAAATACAATGAGAATGAATCAAGTAAAGGCATGTACATGTACACATGTGTGGTGTACATTAAACAATTATCTCATTTATAAATTGTGTGCAATTAATAATATATCTAGGGGCTACACCACAGTATATCTAGCGGTTACACCACAGTATATCTAGGGGCTACATCACAGTATATCTAGGGGCTACACCACAGTATATCTAGGGCTACACCACAGTATATCTAGGGGCTACACCATAGTATATCTAGGGGCTACACCACAGTATATCTAGGGCCTACACCATAGAATATCTAGGGGCTACACCACAGTATATCTAGCGGTTTCACCACAGTATATCTAGGGGCTACATCACAGTATATCTAGGGGCTAAACCACAGTATATCTAGGGGCTACATCACAGTATATCTAGGGGCTAAACCACAGTATATCTAGGGGCTACATCACAGTATATCTAGGGGCTACACACCACAGTATATCTAGGGGCTCCGCACCACAGTATATCTAGGGGCTCCACACCACAGTATATCTCGGGGCTACACACCACAGTATATCTAGGGGCTCCGCACCACAGTATATCTAGGGGCTCCACACCACAGTATATATAGGGGCTCCACACCACAGTATATCTAGGGGCTACACACCACAGTATATCTAGGGCTACACCACAGTATATCTAGGGGCTACACCACAGTATATCTAGGGGCTACACACCACAGTATATCTAGGGGTTACACCACAGTATATCTAGGGACTATACCACAGTATATCTAGGGGCTACACCACAGTAAATCTAGGGGCTATACACCACAGTATATCTAAGGGCTACACCACAGTATATCTAGGGGATACACCACAGTATATCTAGGGGCTACACACCACAGTATATCTAGGGGCTACACCACAGTAAATCTAGGGGCTATACTCCACAGTATATCTAAGGGCTACACCCCAGTATATCTAGGGCTACACCACAGTTTATCTAGGGGTTACACCACAGCATATCTAGGAGCTACACCACAGTATATCTAGGGCTACACCACAGTATATCTAGGGGTTACACCACAGTATATCTAGGAGCTACACCACAGTATATCTAGGGCTACACCACAGTATATCTAGGGGCTACACCACAGTATATCTAGGGGCTACACCACAGTATATCTAGGGGCTATACCACAGTATATGTAGGGGTTACACCACAGTATATCTAGGGGCTACACACCACAGTATATGTAGGGGTTACACCACAGTATATCTAGGGGCTACACACCACAGTATATGTAGGGGTTACACCACAGTATATCTAGGGGCTACACACCACAGTATATGTAGGGGTTACACCACAGTATATCTAGGGGCTACACACCACAGTATATGTAGGGGTTACACCACAGTATATCTAGGGGCTACACACCACAGTATATGTAGGGGTTACACCACAGTATATCTAGGGGCTACACACCACAGTATATGTAGGGGTTACACCACAGTATATCTAGGGGCTACACACCACAGTATATGTAGGGGTTACACCACAGTATATCTAGGGGCTACACACCACAGTATATGTAGGGGTTACACCACAGTATATCTAGGGGCTACACACCACAGTATATCTAGGGGTTACACCACAGTATATCTAGGGGCTACACACCACAGTATATCTAGGGGCTACACACCACAGTATATCTAAGGGCTACACCACAGTATATCTAGGGGATACACCACAGTATATCTAGGGGCTACACCACAGTATATCTAGGGGCTACACCACAATAGATCAATTTAACAGGCCATTTGTGTATTTATTTCATTAGTATACATTCTGCCTGTATTTCCTGGTTAAACAGCTGTTTTTTACCTGTTAATTACATATTACCTACGTGTTTACGTTGTTAACAGAAACGTAATACATGTGCTGTCTTGTTTACATATGTACCTTTTCAAGGGTGTCCTGGTTAAATGGTTTTACAACTTTAAATGCTAATCATCCAAATTGAATTGATTTTATTTGTTAAATATCATGTCTTTCCTTAATGTAGAAAACTGATCTAATCTGTACAACTTATCTATTTTAATGCTCTAAAATTATCACCTTTTCTCCCACCTCTGTTGAGGGATAGCTTTATCAACATGTCCTCGTGGGATACGTTATCCCACATGGGCACACCACTCAGTGAACTGTACTATACATATATTATGACATCACAATTCAAAGCAGATGACAGCGTTATTCTGATGTCACAATTGAAAATGTGTCAATGTCGTTTGACTGACCGGCAATCTTGCCATCGGCAAGTGACACCACCTCAAGAACATAAGAATTGTTTTACAAGCTTTTTGAGCAAGAAATTTTGCCATATTTAAAGCAGTGCATTTGCCGAGTGCAAAACTAATATCACTAAAGTTTTAAGGCTATCTGCCCCTCAGGTGTAAATTTGATAGAACTTTAAAGTTTATAACCTGTGACACGTTTCATTGGTCTCAACTGATTTTAAGTGTCGTATTCAGGAAATGGCCGGGTGTGAATAACTCAACCAAATTATAGGTTTTAAATGGAGAACCTGTTAACAGGTTTAACAATACCACCTGACAGTTTGATGAGTCAGTGTCTTCCCATGCTTATTTATCCTTAAGATGGTAGGTCGTATATAGGGATCATAGTTATATCAACAAATCAAGCCTGGGGGTCTGAATGTGCATTGATACTGAGTGTAGAGGAGGGAAAGTGGGGGAGGGAAAGTGGGGGAGGGGGACAAACATTTAAAAGTTGCTGTGGGGAGTAGTAGGGGGTGAAAACCAGGGGGGTTGAGTTAAGCTAAAGGGGTCGGGGAAGATGGCGAAGAGGGGGGGGGACAAAATCTGAATGTTACGCTAGGTGATGGGGTGAAAATCTGAATGTAAGTGTGTGTAAGTGTGTGTGGGGGAGGGGGGGATGAAAATCTTGCATCTTGAAAATCTTGTAAATGCAAAATGCAGGAATATGGGCATTTATAACATATGGTTTTATATCAATGATAAATTACAGTTTTTTAATCATAGCCTAGCAAAGTATTTTCTGACATACACTTTGCACAGAAGTGCTTTCTGTTGCCTTTATATATATATACCATTCTTTGTATGTACTTTTGATGCCAGTAACACTGGTTAAGGTACTAACTAGCTAGGTGCTTGGGAGGTGTGTGTGAATGATGCCAGTAACACTGGTTAAGGTACTAACTAGCTAGGTGCTTGGGAGGTGTGTGTGAATGATGCCAGTAACACTGGTTAAGGTACTAACTAGCTAGGTGCTTGGGAGGTGTGTGTGAATGATGCCAGTAACACTGGTTAAGGTACTAACTAGCTAGGTGCTTGGGAGGTGTGTGTGAATGATGCCAGTAACACTGGTTAAGGTACTAACTAGCTAGGTGCTTGGGAGGTGTGTGTGAATGATGCCAGTAACACTGGTTAAGGTACTAACTAGCTAGGTGCTTGGGAGGTGTGTGTGAATGATGCCAGTAACACTGGTTAAGGTACTAACTAGCTAGGTGCTTGGGAGGTGTGTGTGAATGATGCCAGTAACACTGGTTAAGGTACTAACTAGCTAGGTGCTTGGGAGGTGTGTGTGAATGATGCCAGTAACACTGGTTAAGGTACTAACTAGCTAGGTGCTTGGGAGGTGTGTGTGAATGATGCCAGTAACACTGGTTAAGGTACTAACTAGCTAGGTGCTTGGGAGGTGTGTGTGAATGATGCCAGTAACACTGGTTAAGGTACTAACTAGCTAGGTGCTTGGGAGGTGTGTGTGAATGATGCCAGTAACACTGGTTAAGGTACTAACTAGCTAGGTGCTTGGGAGGTGTGTGTGAATGATGCCAGTAACACTGGTTAAGGTACTAACTAGCTAGGTGCTTGGGAGGTGTGTGTGAATGATGCCAGTAACACTGGTTAAGGTACTAACTAGCTAGGTGCTTGGGAGGTGTGTGTGAATGATGCCAGTAACACTGGTTAAGGTACTAACTAGCTAGGTGCTTGGGAGGTGTGTGTGAATGATGCCAGTAACACTGGTTAAGGTACTAACTAGCTAGGTGCTTGGGAGGTGTGTGTGAATGATGCCAGTAACACTGGTTAAGGTACTAACTAGCTAGGTGCTTGGGAGGTGTGTGTGAATGATGCCAGTAACACTGGTTAAGGTACTAACTAGCTAGGTGCTTGGGAGGTGTGTGTGAATGATGCCAGTAACACTGGTTAAGGTACTAACTAGCTAGGTGCTTGGGAGGTGTGTGTGAACAGAGAGTATAGTTATACGGGTCACTGTTTATGTTCTCATTAATAAAGTATAAACAATCATTTGTGCATGTATATTAATATCATATGTTGTTTTTTTACTAAAACTAAATGGAAATGAGCACATGAACTGTATATAATTAATGATATCTTTATAGAACAGAATGGAAATGAGCACATGCATTGTGTGATTGTTTGATAGAACAGATACGGTACTTGTTTATAATGTCTACACCTACAGACTGTATGTCTATGTAGGTGGTGGTCAGTTTGGCTAAATAAACTGACCAGTCCAGCCGATAATTGACAGACAATTATATTGCCATTCCGTGCCAATTATCTCTTCATACCACCAGACCATTGTAATCAGATACATACAGGATACACTCCAATCATCAGGCAATTACATACAGGTTATCTATACAAGTACAACCCTCCTGTGTCCTCCCCCTCCTCCACCCACACCACACAGGTTATCTATACAAGTACAACCCTCCTGTGTCCTCCCCCTCCTCCCCCACACCACACAGGTTATCTATACAAGTACAACCCTCCTGTGTCCTCCCCCTCCTCCACCCACACCACACAGGTTATCTATACAAGTACAACCCTCCTGTGTCCTCCCCCTCCTCCCCCACACCACACAGGTTATCTATACAAGTACAACCCTCCTGTGTCCTCCCCCTCCTCCACCCACACCACACAGGTTATCTATACAAGTACAACCCTCCTGTGTCCTCCCCCTCCTCCCCCCACACCACACAGGTTATCTATACAAGTACAACCCTCCTGTGTCCTCCCCCTCCTCCCCCCACACCACACAGGTTATCTATACAAGTACAACCCTCCTGTGTCCTCCCCCTCCTCCCCCCACACCACACAGGTTATCTATACAAGTACAACCCTCCTGTGTCCTCCCCCTCCTCCCCCCACACCACACAGGTTATCTATACAAGTACAACCCTCCTGTGTCCTCCCCCTCCTCCCCCCACACCACACAGGTTATCTATACAAGTACAACCCTCCTGTGTCCTCCCCCTCCTCCCCCACACCACACAGGTTATCTATACAAGTACAACCCTCCTGTGTCCTCCCCCACACCACACAGGTTATCTATACAAGTACAACCCTCCTGTGTCCCACCCCACACCACACAGGTTATCTATACAAGTACAACCCTCCTGTGTCCTCCCCCACACCACACAGGTTATCTATACAAGTACAACCCTCCTGTGTCCTCCCCCACACCACACAGGTTATCTATACAAGTACAACCCTCCTGTGTCCTCCCCCACACCACACAGGTTATCTATACAAGTACAACCCTCCTGTGTCCTCCCCCACACCACACAGGTTATCTATACAAGTACAACCCTCCTGTGTCCTCCCCCACACCACACAGGTTATCTATACAAGTACAACCCTCCTGTGTCCTCCCCCACACCACACAGGTTATCTATACAAGTACAACCCTCCTGTGTCCTCCCCCACACCACACAGGTTATCTATACAAGTACAACCCTCCTGTGTCCTCCCCCTCCTCCCCCACACCACACAGGTTATCTATACAAGTACAACCCTCCTGTGTCCTCCCCCACACCACACAGGTTATCTATACAAGTACAACCCTCCTGTGTCCTCCCCCACACCACACAGGTTATCTATACAAGTACAACCCTCCTGTGTCCTCCCCCACACCACACAGGTTATCTATACAAGTACAACCCTCCTGTGTCCTCCCCCACACCACACAGGTTATCTATACAAGTACAACCCTCCTGTGTCCTCCCCCACACCACACAGGTTATCTATACAAGTACAACCCTCCTGTGTCCTCCCCCACACCACACAGGTTATCTATACAAGTACAACCCTCCTGTGTCCTCCCCCACACCACACAGGTTATCTATACAAGTACAACCCTCCTGTGTCCTCCCCCACACCACACAGGTTATCTATACAAGTACAACCCTCCTGTGTCCTCCCCCACACCACACAGGTTATCTATACAAGTACAACCCTCCTGTGTCCTCCCCCTCCTCCCCCACACCACACAGGTTATCTATACAAGTACAACCCTCCTGTGTCCTCCCCCACCCCACACAGGTTATCTATACAAGTACAACCCTCCTGTGTCCCCCCCCTCCTCCCCCCACACCACACAGGTTATCTATACAAGTACAACCCTCCTGTGTCCTCTCCCTCCTCCCCCACACCACACAGGTTATCTATACAAGTACAACCCTCCTGTGTCCCACCCCACACCACACAGGTTATCAATACAAGTACAACCCTCCTGTGTCCTCCCCCTCACCACACAGGTTATCTATACAAGTACAACCCTCCTGTGTCCCACCCCACACCATACAGGTTATCAATACAAGTACAACCCTCCTGTGTCCTCCCCCACACCACACAGGTTATCTATACAAGTACAACCCTCCTGTGTCCTCCCACTCCTCCCCCACACCACACAGGTTATCTATACAAGTACAACCCTCCTGTGTCCTCTCCCTCCTCCCCCACACCACACAGGTTATCTATACAAGTACAACCCTCCTGTGTCCCACCCCACACCACACAGGTTATCTATACAAGTACAACCCTCCTGTGTCCTCCCCCTCCTCCCCCACACCACACAGGTTATCTACACAAGTACAACCCTCCTGTGTCCTCCCTCACACCACACAGGTTATCTACAGTATACAAGTACAGCCCAATAGAAGGGTCCCTCCTGTGTCCTCCCCTCCCTGACCACTCTTTCCCTCCTCCCTCCCACACACCATATATACAGGTTCTTTATACAAGTACAGTCCAATGAAAGGGTCCCTCCTGTGTCCTAACCCTCCTTCACCCACACCACACAGGTTATCTACAGTATACAAGTACAGCTAGCTCAATGGAAGGTCCCTCCTGTGTTCATCCCCTCCCTGACCACTCCTTCCCTCCTCCCTCTCACACGCCATACAGGTTCTTTATACAAGTACAGTCCAATCGATGGGTCCCTCTTGTGTTCTCTCCCTCCCCCACCAGCCCCCTCCTGTCTTCATGCACACTGGACGGATTATCTACACAAGTAAAGTTTTATGCAGAGACCCCTCCCTCGCTCACACCATCTATGTCTTCCATCTTAATATAATACTGCCCTCCCACTCACCTTCAAACCCAATAACTCGCCCCCTTTTCCGTTCCTCCAACACACTGTCTACATGTATGTGTCCTACACGTGCACTGTTACATCTCAATAAAATAAGGCACTCCTTTTCAATCTGAATTATTCCTCCCCCTCCCTCCAAACACACTAAGTACGTCTTTGCATCTTGTTACAATACGGCACTCCCATTCAATATCAATAATCCTCTCCTATAATCTAAATAGTCCTCCCCTTCCCCTCCACCTGAGCTTCTCATCCATCACATAATAATAAAAGCCACATTTTCTCACACATGTCATGACTTTTCTTCAAATACATGGATACCAGGTAAGCCTTCTCCAAATTTCTAACACCTCTACATTTGTATCTAAATTAGGAAAGTTAGGTAACATCTCTCTGTCTCAATATAGCAAGCTCACTACCTTCTGTCTCAATAGAGCAAGCTCACTACCTTCTGTCTCAATAGAGCAAGCTTGCTACCTTCTGTCTCAATAGAGCAACCTCACTACATTCTGTCTCAATAGAGCAAGCTCGCTACCTTCTGTCTCAATAGAGCAAGCTCACTACCTTCTGTCTCAATAGAGCAAGCTCACTACCCTCCATCACATAGAGCAAACTCACTACCTTCTGTCACAATAGAGCAAGCACACTACCTTCTGTCTCAATAGAGCAAACTCCCTACCTTCTGTCACAATAGAGCAAGCACACTACCTTCTGTCTCAATAGAGCAAGCTCACTAACTTCTGTCTCAATACAGCAATGCAAGCTTTGACGCTACCTTCTGTCTCAATAGAGCAAACTCACTACCTTCTGTCTCAATAGAGCAAGCTCACTACCCTCCATCACATAGAGCAAACTCACTACCTTCTGTCACAATAGAGCAAGCACACTACCTTCTGTCTCAATAGAGCAAGCTCGCTACTTTCTGTCTCAATAGAACAAGCTCGCTACTTTCTGTCTCAATACAGCAAGCTCACTACGTTCTGTCTCAATACAGCAAGCTCACTACGTTCTGTCTCAATACAGCAAGCTCACTACCTTCTGTCTCAATACAGCAAGCTCGCTACTTTCTGTCTAAATAAAGCAAACTCACTACCTTCTGTCTCAATAGAGCAAGCTCGCTACTTTCTGTCTCAATAGAGCAAGCTCACTACCTTCTGTCTCAATACAGCAAGCTCGCTACCTTCTGTCTCAATAGAGCAAGCTCACTAACTTCTGTCTCAATACAGCAATGCAAGCTCGCTACCTTCTGTCTCAATAGAGCAAACTCACTACTTTCTGTCTCAATAGAGCAAACTCACTACCTTCTGTCTCAATAGAGCAAGCTCACTACCTTCTGTCTCAATAGAGCAAGCTCACTACCTTCTGTCTCAATAGAGCAAGCTCACTACCTTCTGTCTCAATACAGCAATGCAAGCTCGCTACCTTCTGTCTCAATAGAGCAAACTCACTACTTTCTGTCTCAATAGAGCAAACTCACTACCTTCTGTCTCAATAGAGCAAGCTCACTACCTTCTGTCTCAATAGAGCAAGCTCACTACCTTCTGTCTCAATAGAGCAAGCTCACTACCTTCTGTCTCAATAGAGCAAGCTCACTACCTTCTGTCTCAATAGAGCAAGCTCACTACCTTCTGTCTCAATAGAGCAAGCTCACTACCTTCTGTCTCAATAGAGCAAGCTCACTACCTTCTGTCTCAATAGAGCAAGCTCACTACCTTCTGTCTCAATAGAGCAAGCTCACTACCTTCTGTCTCAATAGAGCAAGCTCACTACCTTCTGTCTCAATAGAGCAAGCTCACTACCTTCTGTCTCAATAGAGCAAGCTCACTACTTTCTGTCTCAATAGAGCAAGCTCGCTATTTTCTGTCTAAATAAAGCAAACTCACTACCTTCTGTCTCAATAGAGCAAGCTCGCTACTTTCTGTCTCAATAGAGCAAGCTCACTACCTTCTGTCTCAATAGAGCAAGCTCACTACCTTCTGTCTCAAAAAACAACCCCACATCTAACTACCAAATCAATAAATCTTTATCTTATCTCTCAATCTCAATAAAGTCAACCTTCCTACCTTTATAGATGTATCTTACTTAATTAATCCATCGATCAGCGCTATTTCTCACAAAATTCCTTAGACTTTCTCTCCTCCAGCAACTCCCCACAATGATTTACAGTATTTGTATACGTACCAGCCATATATACTGTACGTGTTTACCTCCTCTAAACGTAATTCTCCCTCTTCAAATATACACCTACCTATTATGTATATACTCATTTAAATATTTAGTGATTTTCTCAATCTCTTTAATTTTACAACCAGTAATCTTAACAGCCCAGACTCAATCATGTATACAGGAAATCAAGTCTTATATTTATTTAATGGTATGTATGTACCTGCCATCAATTGGTCAATAATCTTTACAATGAATATTGTTGGTCCATGAAGATCAGTTGACCAATATTATTACACAGGACAGACCATTTTCATCTTCATCAACGTTACAGTATATATATATGTGTACAGGTTTATACACGGCCATCTTCATCAAAGTTACCTCAACATCAGGTGACCAATATCGTTACATAGGACAGGCCATCTTCATCAAAGTTACAGTAAAGTACAGGTTTATACATTAGGCAATCTTCATCAAAATGACAGTACTAGTAGAGTACAGATTTATACACTGGGCCATCTTCATCAAAGTGACAGCACAGTTATACATTTTTAAGGACATCTTGATTTCTAAATCTCATATATATATACATTGTATACAGCAGTAAATACCTTGATATATTTTCTCATACTTCATATTTGCACTTGTGAAAAATATTGCATACTACAGCTACCAGACTGTACATTGTTCATGTACAGGATATCTTGATCATTATCATATAAATGTACACAAGTAACAGCTGACAGATATTTTCACTTGTGCATGTGCACTTGTGAAAAATAAAGCTGTCCTGCCATACCTGTGAATAAATATATATATATATAGTATTCAGTGGGAAACCATTAACTTCTTTATATAGTATATATATATATATGTTTGACATATATGATAGTGCTTGGTCAGCTTTATTGATAGAATATGTGTGATGTATTATACTCTCTCTGATAATGATATGTAGTAATAATAACGATTTCAAGCTAACAATTCCCTAGATGGAACTGTTAAACCAGAGGTTATCATATTGTTCTAGCTGCTGGTTTTTGTTACAGTTTCATTGTACGTACAGTAGCTAATTTCTGGGGTTGAATCGCTACGCTGACGACGAGCTACACTGACGACGAGCTACACTGACGAGGAGCGGAGCTACACTAACGAGGAGCGGAGCTACACTGACGAGGAGCTACGTATACACTGACGACGAGCTACACTGACGACAAGCTACACTGACGAGGAGCGGAGCTACACTGACGACGAGCTACACTGACGAGGAGCGGAGCTACACTGACGAGGAGCGGAGCTACACTGACGAGGAGCTACGTATACACTGATGACGAGCTACACTGACGACAAGCTACACTGACGAGGAGCTTCAGCAATAATCTGTCAGTGGTAGGAAACATGATACATAGAAAAGTGTTCTGGCTTGAAGCACAAGAACTTTTTTTTATTTATTTTTTTGTAAAATTGGTACTTTTTATAGCAGATATCTACAAAGCTTAAATCAATGCGGTAATTTAAATCTACATATCTCAATTACATCTTAATCTTTGAAGTGTTATTGTCTGATTGCACCAGTGTCAGCTTTGACGTATTTTGTTCCAGGTTTTAATTTTTAAACCCTGAGATTTATCAGGCCTGGGCTACAGCATGACTGTACTGTATGTGTTTAAGGAGGATAAAACAGCTGGTGAGCACCACGATTGTCTGATAGAGCTGAGCGATGTAACCTTATCAACATGCATAATCATCCTATGTTTATATCAGGGATCCTACAGCTACTTTACCAACCTTACATGGCAATAACTGTATTATCTACAGCTACTATACCAACCTTACATGGTAATAACTGTATTATCTACAGCTACTATACCAACCTTACATGGTAATAACTGTATTATCTACAGCTACTATACCAACCTTACATGGTAATAACTGTATTATCTACAGCTACTATACCAACCTTACATGGTAATAACTGTATTATCTACAGCTACTATACCAACCTTACATGGTAATAACTGTATTATCTACAGCTACTATACCAACCTTACATGGTAATAACTGTATTATCTACAGCTACTATACCAACCTTACATGGTAATAACTGTATTATCTACAGCTACTATACCAACCTTACATGGTAATAACTGTATTATCTACAGCTACTATACCAACCTTACATGGTAATAACTGTATTATCTACAGCTACTATACCAACCTTACATGGTAATAACTGTATTATCTACAGCTACTATACCAACCTTACATGGTAATAACTGTATTATCTACAGCTACTATACCAACCTTACATGGTAATAACTGTATTATCTACAGCTACTATACCAACCTTACATGGTAATAACTGTATTATCTACAGCTACTATACCAACCTTACATGGTAATAACTGTATTATCTACAGCTACTATACCAACCTTACATGGTAATAACTGTATTATCTACAGCTACTATACCAACCTTACATGGTAATAACTGTATTATCTACAGCTACTATACCAACCTTACATGGTAATAACTGTATTATCTACAGCTACTATACCAACCTTACATGGTAATAACTGTATTATCTACAGCTACTATACCAACCTTACATGGTAATAACTGTATTATCTACAGCTACTATACCAACCTTACATGGTAATAACTGTATTATCTACAGCTACTATACCAACCTTACATGGTAATAACTGTATTATCTACAGCTACTATACCAACCTTACATGGTAATAACTGTATTATCTACAGCTACTGTACCAACCTTACATGGTAATAACTGTATTATCTACAGCTACTATACCAACCTTACATGGTAATAACTGTATTATTTACAGCTACTATACCAACCTTACATGGTAATAACTGTATTATGCCATATACCTGTCAGGTCTCTGTCATTAGCAGGGAGACTCACTGATTTAAACCAAAATTTACCAATCTCCCTCAAACTCCCTCATTCAAGTCGAAACTCACACATACTCAATCTACATCCTGTAGTCTAATGTCTTCTAGTTAATTTGATGTAAAAAAAGGAAAAGATGAATTGAGCAAAGCAGTTAACGTTTCAGTCCGGTTTCACGCAATGTATCCCTCATTTGAAATGTTGAGGTTTCAGAGGCTGACCGACACTTACTCTGTACATGGTAACTGCAGTTTAACATTACCATATACCAGACTGATAAATAATTCTGAGAATTCTTTCAAGGAGATCACTTGAGAAATAAAAATAATTAATTCTAATTATAACCATAATTCAGTTAAGGTAAAGGGTACCAACACATAAAACTAATCAGTATAACAGGAGAAAGTGAATTGCAACGACTAGACCGTGATTCGAACCCGGGACCCTCCGACCTCTAGATGGATGCTCTACCAATTGAGCTACCAGCTGGTCTCCAACAATCGACCCAGTCCTGTTCTCCTACATCAGTACCATTGATATATTGTCCCTATTGTTAAAATATCTAAGTCCTTTTCAAAAGAAATTTCCATACAAATAACATGTTGCCATGCATTTTACAGATTTTTTTTGTTTTCAATATTATTTGTTTGAAAAAAAAAGAAATTCAAAAAAAGGGGAAAAAAAGAAAATGGCAGGGTTCCAACTCTGGACCATTACATGCACATTACAAAGGCTACACTTTATCATTGTTGCTATTCAGGAATTATAAATGCAAAACATCAAAATTCATTGCAAGTGTCCAATTTGTGGACCACAAAGCATAAAAACTCCTTCACAGGGGAAGTTACTCTGAGCCAGAAAAACTCCTTCACAGGGGAAGTTACTCTGAGCCAGAAAAACTCCTTCACAGGGGAAGTTACTCTGAGCCAGAAAAACTCCTTCACAGGGGAAGTTACTCTGAGCCAGAAAAACTCCTTCACAGGGGAAGTTACTCTGAGCCAGAAAAACTCCTTCACAGGGGAAGTTACTCTGAGCCAGAAAAACTCCTTCACAGGGGAAGTTACTCTGAGCCAGAAAAACTCCTTTTGGTTGCCTTATTTTCTTTGTAGAAGGGAGAATAATATACTCCAAGTAAAAAAATCTGTGAGTGGAATGTCTCGGCAATCATAACAGATGCAGTGGTACAGTCTTCATCTTAATTAACTAGTTATGTTTTACTATTGACTGGGCTGAGGTATATGTCCGTACGTGTATATGTACTTGTAACATTATATGAGTCATTCATTTTATACATATCGTACATAATACAGGCGTTATTTAAAAATTTCAAGTCCATCATACTCATCTATGCTGTACATTTAATAATTTGTCTACATAGATGTATTTATCCCTTTCACCCCTATGTAACTTTAGTAGACTCTACCATGCATTGATATGGATAAGTCTATTATGGTCTACAGTGGTGAAAGGGTTATATCAGATTTAAATGTATGAAGTGATTTTCATTCCTCTGTATCATATATATACAGTTGCCTAGCTATGTCTTATGAATCTGTGGAAATGTCACACAAATTAAATATCACTTTTAAGGAATTAGACAATAGTTTATACTGACTTCAGGAAAATAATGATGAAATTCTGAAACAGAGAAAATATTGCCGATACTGGATACATATATATTACACTAGAGATGTTTGTATTGATGAAACGTCTCTGGTGATAGATCTTCATGTACATACAGGTAAAAGATATTGATATCGATCTGAGGTTCTAGTTAGATCTACATACAGGTAAAAGATATTGATACGATCTGAGGTTCTAGTTAGATCTACAATGTATATATACGTAGCTATAGATTAATGATCCCTGTACGTCATGTTCTGCTGCACTGCATATATGTATGCAGTAATTACTTCCCCCTTGATTTAATTTTGGATATAACTAAAGCAAAGTTTTGCCATGCGTT